CATCCCCTTACCCAGTCAATAAACCATCCTGATTTGCACTTACCTGTTGTGTCTGGCCTTGCTTTGTGACAATAAGTAAACAGCCAAGTGAACAAAACTACAAAAATGAAATGTGCACTGTTTTTATTTTATTTTATTTAAATTTTTTACATGATTCCCAATTGTTATATTCACGATTTCTAGTATTTGTACAGGTTTTACATTTTTATTTCAATGTTGTAATTAGCAATTCATGTAATTTTATCTTTGAAGCAGATTTGTTGTGACAGCATGTTAATTAAAATATGTCAGCATATTAATTAAAGTTTCTTAAGGGTCAAGATCAAGTTATCTGCATCTCCTGCGCTCCATCAAGCCACTCCCATAATAGCTGTCAGCACTCAACATTAATGCGTGACTCAGATTAACTGTATCGCATGTAAGACTCAAATACAATTATAAAGTAATTATTTTATCACAAATAAATCTTTTAATGGGTAAAACTGTCTGTGACTATAGTATTATAAATTACACAACATTATAATATTATTTTCAAATTAATTTTTAAATTATTACAATTTTAAATGATTGTCCCCGGATTAGTAGGGTACTCTTGTAATAAGGTAGCAGTGGCTGTGACAGATTTTAAGTATCGATTCCACTTAAAAAGATGCAATCTAATCCTGTTTACATGAAATAAGCCGCTCCCGAGCAGGTTTAAGTTTATGGACCTGTTGCTATGACAGCAACTCCGGGATGAGCTTCAAAGAACCAAACAATCCAAGATCAAACGAAATCGTCAACAATCAAATCCAGCTAACTGAGTTAGCGACATAAGAAGAACGGGATCCATCAAGCCACTCCCATAATAGCTGTCAGCACTCAACATTAATGCGTGACTCAGATTAACTGTATCGCATGTAAGACTCAAATACAATTATAAAGTAATTATTTTATCACAAATAAATCTTTTAATGGGTAAAACTGTCTGTGACTATAGTATTATAAATTACACAACATTATAATATTATTTTCAAATTAATTTTTAAATTATTACAATTTTAAATGATTGTCCCCGGATTAGTAGGGTACTCTTGTAATAAGGTAGCAGTGGCTGTGACAGATTTTAAGTATCGATTCCACTTAAAAAGATGCAATCTAATCCTGTTTACATGAAATAAGCCGCTCCCGAGCAGGTTTAAGTTTACGGACCTGTTGCTATGACAGCAAGTCCAGGATGAGCTTCGAAGAACCAAATAATCCAAGATCATGCCAAATTGTCAACAATCAAATCCAGCTAATTGAGTTAGTGACGTGAACTCAGGGTGATATTCCAAAATATATTATTGAGTGTTTATGTACCATATGATGTGGTCTGTAGTTTAGTCGTTTGAAAAACAACTCATCGCTGTCAGTGATGGGCAGATTCAGATTCCAGTAGCTTTATTGGCATGGTAAAAAGGATTTACATTGCCAAAGCAATGATAGCGCTCTCATCCAGTGCTGTTGAGCATTATCAAATTTACAGGCTGCAATGGGCAGCGAATCAGGCAGTGATTGACAACACTCTGATCCAATGGCATTAGGCATTGTCGGATTGACAGTACTCTAGACCAATGGTGTTGGGAGGGCACCGGGGGGCCAATCACGTTCAGTGGGGGGTGGGGTGCTGGGGGGTTCAAGAGGGGCAGAGGGCAGTGGCTCTAGCCACCGGGCCACCCCGTGTACGGCCCTGGTAAGGACATCATTAAAATAGTCCATGTGACACCAGACTGACACAGAAGAGAAGAAATTGTTGAATAAAGTAATTATTTGCAAACAAAACGTATTCTCGTAGCTTCATAAAATTAAGGTTGAACCACTGATATCACATGGACTATTTTAACGATGTCGTTACTACCTTTCTGGGCCTTGAACGTGTCAGTTGCATTACTGTCTATGCAGGGTCATAAAGATCTCGGATTTCATCAAAAATATCTTTATTTGTGTTCTAAGAGATGAACAAAGGTCTTGCAGGTTATATATAAGATATTATATATTATATAAAAATATCAAATATTCGGTTGGGGGGTTATATCTTTGGCCATATAATGGGGGTACTTGTCCCCCCTTGGTGTGTCATGGTCTTTAGTTTCGAATATAATCCACAACCTTGTTGAAATGTGTCACAGGCTTTCTACTCCTTCCTTTTTTATAATTCACTTCTCTACTGGGGATCAGACAAGTAAACAAACTACATTATTAAGGTTTCAGATGGAGTGAAAAATCCATTTTTTATGGAGTGCAAATAGAAAATTGTTTAACAAAATCCAGTATATTGACCCCAGATGTGGAAAGATGTCAAGGGTGGTCTTCCTTGTTGACTGCAGACTATGATTATTATATGCCGTTGGCTTTGAAATAAAGATAGAGAGCAAACCATCTTCATTCTCTATGCTGCTCCAGCCAAATAAACTCTAGAGCCCCCTCAAGTTTCATTCACTTCTGCTTTGTTCTAAACTGGTCTAGTTTTACTTAGTCTCAAAGCTTTGAAACATCATTAGAAAAATGAGAAAGAGGAAACCGGCGGAGAATAACTTGCAACAAAGCGCTCAGAGGAATGTCAGTGTCAACAGCGGTGAGCAAAGCTGATCTGTGCTGAGCAAAGCAGCCTCTGAGTTGTGAATGTGTGTGGATATGTGTGTGTGTTTGTGTGCTCATCTCACAAGATGATTTTGTGGGATGGAGCAGCGAGTGTCAGTAATTTTGCGTCACATGCTTTTTTTTTATCCTAATCTTACTGCCTGACCTCTGACCTATATTCAGAAACTTAATGAGTGCTTCAGTAGACAGAAACAAGCATTTCTGTAGATACACTCTTGTCACATTACTTGATACACAACTGGCCGTAATGTCACAGATTACATTATATGAAGCCAGATCATGGTTCACACTCAGTTCAGCGCACTGACATTACATTAACACCGACACACTGAACAGAAGTACACTAGATGAATAAATTCATAAATGTTATGTGTTCTATTCATTTTTTAAAGTATATTTAAAATATTTATTCATACATTTTTATTATTAATAATAATATTTTAAATTATATATTTTTTTATCATTTTATTTCACTGAGATTTTTAACATTTAATTTACCACATTGAATTTTATGATTAATATCCCCACCAGAAACTGGGTAGGCATACACTGGGCAGGAAAGAGAGTAGAGAGGGAGTAGAAAGGAATATGTCTCAATGCTTTGCAACAACCAAGAAACATAATACATTTAACATTTAGGCAAATTTTAAACAAGATTCTTGTCATTGTCATGTTCTTTCAGCACTGTGCATAAATTCAATATGCAAGTTAAAGATTAAAAGGGGCATATTCTTTGCTTACCTTGCAACCTTAGATGTATTGTGTCTACTACAGTGGGCAGATGTGTACTTTAACTCCTTCAAAATACATAAAAATATGAAAACAAAAGATCACAAGTATATCTTTGTGATTGTATGTATTATCCTTATGCAACAATCTATGATCAAAAACAAGGAGGTTTAAATGTTGGATGTTCCTCATGGATATTTCTCCACATCTTTCTCCCCCTCCTATGTGAGCATCTCACTCCTGATTAATTAAGGCAACAAAAAAAAGGAAAAAGAAAAAGAAATCAATGAAATGTCATGTCCACAAATTCCTGAAAATATACCTTGTGTTTTCATTAAACCAAACAGATCAATGAAGTGTCCTTCCCACATCCTTAAAATGAGATTCACTGGCAAGCATTTCTAGGTAGTTTCCTTAGACCTAACCATGGACTATCACTGCATGCCTTATGTGAACTTCTTGTTAACACGAGTGCAACCGCAAAAATCCAACATATACACATAAACGCTAAGCACAAAGAATAGCACCTCTCAACACTGGGCTAATAATCAAGACATAAATTATCCCTTATCTGCTTCTGCCAACAGAACTTAATTTTACTCCTTATCAAGAGAAATAGTGCCTGACAAAATTATTGTCTTTCAGTCATAACTAAAGAAAAATATGGCAGCACAGTTTTCCTTTGTGTATCACAATATGAAATTTTCTCTAGGGTGTTCAACAGCATTACTTGCACACCAACTGTTTATGTTGCATATTAGCCATGTATGATCATTAAATGCAATAAATCAGCACAGTGTAGTATATAACACTCTTATAATATCTCTGTATCTTCTGCTTGGTATTATACTGGTAGCATTAAGGGAATTCAGTAAATCTCATGCATGGGCATCTGTTTCAAATCTGAATGTACAGACCTAAATATATCTGTATTCTCATCATTAATATGTTGGACTGAACATAAAACTGCTTATTATACAGCCTTGTCTAATGCCCCAAATGGAAAACCTGAATATTTGATGTCAGATGACATTAGTATTGCCTCTTACATTTGTAGCATTGGTGACTGTCGTGGCTGATTTGCTCAAATCTGCCCCCCATTTTTATCTCTCTCTTTTTATTCCTCAGTTTGGTAGCGTCAAAAAAGCCAGAAAACCCTCAAGGAGAAAAAGCATCGTCACCCTCTGACTTCCTTGACAAGCTCATGGGAAGAACCTCAGGTTACGATGCCAGAATTAGGCCCAACTTTAAAGGTAGTACAAACAAACCTTACCTTTTACTCTGTTTCTCCTTGAAGGAATACATTGTGCTGTCTTTAATGGTTATTTACCACTGCTTGTTTTTGATTTGATGTCTTTAAAACCTTTAGTTACAGTGATCATTGGTGTCTAAAGGATTCATATTTTATACGGTACAAAGCTAATGCAGATGTGACTCTATATTCAGTTTCATGCTATGAAATGATTATATAATAATGCTTCACATCTCCTGGTTCCAGCTGCCTCTAGACGTTTCTGCAATGACTCTGAAAACATTCATTCATTATGCGGTTACAGAATGGCCCTGAACCCAAACCATCTCAAACTATAAATCAGCCTGAGCTTTCTTAAATTATTAAGCTGGCAAAGGACTTCCCCTCGGAAGAAAATCAAAAAAAAAAAAAAAAAAAAAACAGGTGTAGGGGTGTTACAAACAGGTGTATAATAAAGCAATGCATTTATGTACTAAGTTCATTGTACACATCAATATTGTAAGTAAAAATAAAAAAAAGCAGAGTGAAGCAGATCAAATCACCCAAATTTCATAACTTTTCCTCCTCCATTAATGAACCATTAGGAGGCCATGCAATATTACTCTGTCTCGTTTAGTCTTGACATAATTTTGTTGTAATCTCAACAAAGCAAACATTTTATTGATATCTTAATTAAAAAAAAAAAAAGGTTATATTAAAGCAGACAAGTATTAAATAGCTCATGTGTACTCACACATATATAACCATGAACCAGTGAGTCCAATAGAAAGTATCTTTGTAGAGACTATACTGTATTATGACTGATTTCACTCTTCTCTCCACAGGTCCGCCTGTGAATGTAACATGCAACATATTCATTAACAGTTTTGGCTCCATTGCAGAGACAACTATGGTATGTATTCCTAATCCAGCAATGATGCATGCGTTTTCATGCACAAATGCCCTATGGCAGTGTTTACCCAATATAAAGCTTAGCTATTATATTAGCACTGTGTTGATTGTATCCACAGGGTGCAATTAATGCACTAATAGTCTGTCATTATAATTCACAGTTCAGACTTAATGGAAACAGTATATAGCACACTCTCAAAATTGTGTGTTTTGTATTGAGGGAGCATTTCTGCTTGCGTGCATGTCGTATTACATCTAATTCCAGATTGTGAGAAAGACTGTAGGAGGAAGTCCACCGGCTGAAAGTCATAAGGGGTGCAAACTTGCTTCCATCACCAGGCTTCTAGGAAGTCATTTTGTGAGACAAAGTTGGGAGGGCTTTAGACACTTTGGACCCCTTTAGACCCATTTCGTCTGTCATGTCAGCCTTCTGCAATTAACTTGAGCTTTCAGTAACCTAAAATGTTATTTTGTCTTCATGTTTGCTAAAAAGCAGTTGCAGTGAGCTATCTGTATTCATTTCACTCTGAATCTTCCTGTTACATCATAAAAAAACTGTGTTTTGTTACAGTAGCATTCTTTTCTGAAGTCAGACCTAGATCCAGTTATACAGTTACGCTGTGGATTCTTTGCTAAACTAGCTGCCATTCAAAGCAGATTTTGCAAACAGACCTTTACAGAAAGATATGAACCCAGCAAAAATGCAACAACATGTGAGGGTGTTAATTCTAAAGCCTAATCTGTGATCAGTGACTTTTGAAATGTAAGGAGTCATTGTAGGGATTTCTATCATGAACGGACACTGATATGCCCCTATCAGCCATCATGAGGTCTGGATTAATCTAATCAAGAGATACCACAGAGATCTTTTGTATGAGGACTACGACATATAGATACCTCCTGATGTCTTGTGATCGCCAATGAATAGAACTAGTATATCCAGCAGGAAAAGGATGAGTAAATTAACTGATGCCCTCAGGCCCGCAAACACGGGATCTATACAGCGTGACGCCACATGACCCATTGAACATCTGCTTCCTGCCCTTTCTGAAACCCTTACGTTTCTTTTGTCACAGACAAAGAAACAGAACGTACACAGACAATTCATAAGACAATCAGTGAAAATCATTGAAAGTATCGGAGCAATATATTCACAAATAATATGTTTATGTCTGATGATGTGTGATGTGTTTCCTGTAATCGGTGCAAGTTTAACCAATGTGTTTAAACACCTTTTAGTAATTAAGATTATTAATGTGGATGCAAACTATCCGATATTGAGCTTGAATGAAAGCTTGTTTTATTCGCCGAACATTGGTGTTAGTGAAAATTTTATATTCTGTATCATTATGACCTCAGGACACCTCCCCTTTTCTCCCTGCATTCCAAAAAAAGGACGCACCCTTTTCTCTCTCTTCGGTCAGACAAAGGGACATGAAACTTACAACAGACAATTTCAACAGATAATCATTTATGCGCATAACAGGGCAACCAGATTCACAAATAATATGTTGTATGTCTTATATATACTTGACGTGTTTCATGTAATCGGTGCAACTTTAATCAGTGTTTATTACCCTTTTTAGGAAATAAGGTTATTAAAATGTGTGTAATATGTGAAGTTTAATCTTGAACGAATGGGCACGACAAATGCAGAATGTTGAAATGAAGTAAACTTTAATAGTATGTACAATACTTGCATTTAAGAAACTTTATAGAAGTACTAACAAAACTTTTATAGATGGTGTCCGCATGTGATAAAGTGAAGCTTCGTGTTAAGGTATGCACGCCCCGCCTTGCATCAAGTCGATTGGAAGAGCGCGCCGTGGGACGGACTTGTGCCGCAGGTCAAAACCCCACTGCAACACAGATTCAAGTGCTTCTCGCTGCTTACTCTCTCGAGTGAAGGCTTTTCGCTGTTTGCTCTCCCGAACGCAGGCTCTTCGCCACTTGCTCTCCCGAGCAAGGCCTTGTTGCCGTGTGGAGAGCACTCTATCTTGTGCTCACAAGCTGAGCCATCAGGCGATCGACCATCTAGAACTCAACTACTCCGTTGAAGCTTCATAACGCTGCAGAACGCCAAGTCTTGCTAAAGCAGACTCTCTCAGAAGAACCAGAGGCTCCTCTGTAACCCGGCAACCAACCAATCCAACGAGGGCTTCCCCAAAAGGACGTCATCCTGACGTCATAGCAGTAACCAATTGGCAACGGAATTTCCCTCCAGCAGCCATCCAGGAAGCCTGCGTCAGCAACGAGAAAACAACTCAGCTTTTCAGATTTCAGCAAAACGCAAGTAACGAACAAAATCTCCTATCTGCTGAACTGACGCTGATGATTGACTTAAGAAGTAAACGTAAGACAAATCTCTGCTTTGTGAATTCTCTCAGGCTGAATTTAAAACCACTCGTGGAAACGGGTGTTAGAACCAAGAAAACTTCATGCAACTCCGTTAACTCATTCCTTCATTCTTCTGAAGCTGTATATGTGTGTGTGTGTGTGTGTGTGTATGTGTGTTTTAGCTTACTTTTAATGTAATCTAGAATAGCCAATAAATTCGTTTTCATTTATAAAGAATCATTGTCTGGTGTCATATAACTTTAAAGTCAAAACATTGCCAAGATTACGTTACCTAGCTCGTAGCTTACTTATCAAAGAACGTATTATCCTGTGGCCAAGGAAAATACACAGTCAGATTAAGATACACGGACATTAACGGCTCGCTGGACGACCGTTGATAAGGTGTAAACTATTGAAATTTGAAATCAGTTCTAATCAGGTGGACATCGAATTTTCAGATTCGAGTCCTTTCAAAACCTGAGCTAGAAATAAAATTTATGATTAATTCCCTTATAGAATTAATGAGTTAAATTCCTTACAGTACTTACATCATGTACAGTCAGACATTCATTTATTGCCATTTATGCATCAGTAAATTAAGCCAGTGACTAAACGGTCAACTTCACACTACTCCTCTTAGTAGCATGGAAATCAACTGTTATTTAAATTGATTAAATTATATACAGAAAGTGAGCAAAAATAATCACTGGAGCTGTCAATCATACAGTACTGACTGCATTCTGCACTCTAACCAAAACGTGTTATCATCAATGATGCTGTACACAGCTCAATGATTCTCTTCTTGACATTGTATTTGCACTGTGTTATTTATAATGTGCATTCATCAGAGTGTAGACATTACTGTGATTGGCTACAATGCTCAATGCTGAAACCTTTTATGCAACGGGAGAAGATCTAAATATATCATTATGATGAACATTATCATCTTAAAGAACACTTTCAAAAGAATTCCACATGTAATACTTATTTTATCTCAAAATAAACCAACCCATTTAAACAGTGTTCAAATCAGAGGGCTAAAATCACAGAAGATTTTTATTTCTAAAGTTTTTGATATATATATATATATAAACACATTATAAACGCGTCAGGAATAAATAAATCCTTTAAAAATGTTGTTTAAACCCATGAGCTAAATTATGTATGTGAGTTTACACATTTTATTTGCAAAAAAAGTTTTTAAATATATTTTTTTCAAGGTAAATATCATTATTACGAAAGGTATGCCAATTTACAACCTAAACTAACCTGGCCTTTGGCAGACAAAGGTTTAAATATTACTAATCAATTTGTATATATAGCAGTTTTTATGATATAGCAAATGTATCTTTGTTTATTACATTTTTGTTTTCAAGAATGTAGCAAATTAGCTCAAAAGGGAAATGTATATAAATAATTACAATTAATTATGATTAATTACAATTATTTATATCAGCTGCCAGTAGTAACTGTAGCAGAATTAAATTGTCATCAACCAATCTGTTCGTCCAGCGAACATTCAGTGTAAGTTCATATCAACTCTAGGAAAGAAATATT